CTCTCTATCTAGTTAAGTATTACCTGAGAGTAAAGGATTATGCATTATATTTTACCCTCCATAAAACACTGAACTGATAAAGAATCAAACGTGATAAAAAATGTATTTTATTTATTTTATATTTTTTAAGGAACAAATCGAGTTCTGGTCCAGATCAATGACCGCAGTCCTCCTCCCGGGCACTCGGCGGCGCTGTGTTCACACACCGCTGGTTTTCCCGGCCGCCGCCTGATGATCACGTAGTGGTTCCAAGATGGCGTCGCGGTACTACCAGGAGATGCAGGAGAGCTTCAAGAACAACAGCAAGAGCCGCGAGTTCCCGGCTCACACCGCCAAAGTCCACTCGGTGGCCTGGAGCTGCGACGGCAGGAGACTCGCTTCCGGGTCTTTCGACAAAACAGCGAGTGTTTTCCTCCTGGAGAAGGACCGCCTGGTGAGCAGCAGCTAGCATGCTAACGTTAGCCTCGCCCCGGCGAACCAATGGACGCGTGTTCGAGTCTCACTCAGTGGGTTTAAAACACGCGTGTCTCTGTTCTGTGGATAGTTAACTTAACATCAATTAAACTTTTCTGAAGCTACGGAGGTTCCAGACCCAAAGATTCAGAGCCGGGTTTAACTCAGGGACCGGTTCGTGTAAAAGCTTGTGATCTAACAAAGCAGATGTAAATGTTCCTCTAGAACAACCAGGATTTTACATCTGATATTTTATGGATATTAAAGTTAAACATATATTTCAATGCTTTTCTGTGTCTCAGGGATTCAAACCAACGCTGAGTTTTATTATTAATGTTCACAACACAGAGTAAATCAGTCAAAACGGAATAATTATCACTTAAATCTGATAATATCTTACAAGACGTTTGTTTTTAAGTATAATATTGTCCTCATCTAGAAGTTTTTTTAATTTATCGATTTAGCCAAATGTCCATAGAGCCTGGTTCAGATACTGATGTGACTCAAGGTGTCCTTATCAAACCCTCTCAACAAATATAATCAAGGTTTAATATTTTAACCATCAGCCTCATTACAAGGAAACACAAATAGAACCAAACATGTAGAAGTTGGATTATGAAAGAAAACATATCATTGACATTCATTTAAAAAAACTGTGTTATTATTGTATTTCATTCAGTTCTGTTGAATATTATTTAGTTACCAGTGTTTGAAGCTTTGCAGCCAAAGTTTGTGGGAACTTTTCTAGATTCTTTCCATCATGAGGGAAAAGTGTGAGGTGGAGATAAATCACCGCTGCTGGTTCATGTAGTCGGAGAAGTGATTCATTTGTGAATGAGTCATTTGTGTGTATTGTCTTTGGGCTCATGAACACGTCCACGTCTCTGTCCCCAGGTGAAAGAGAACAACTACAGAGGTCACGGTGACAGCGTCGATCAGCTCTGTTGGCATCCAACAAACCCGGATCTGTTCGTCACGGCATCTGGAGACAAGACCATTCGCATATGGGACGTCCGCACCACCAAATGCATCGCCACCGTCAACACCAAAGGTGGGGGTTGAGTTCCTGTGGACTCTGATCTTTGAAAAGCAAACAGCAGTTTGTTTCTTATGTTAGTGGCTGATGAGGAAACGTGAAGGAGGGCGATTAAGAAAAGTGATTTAAAATGTAATCACAGATTTGTGTTAATATATTAGACTGTAAGTCTAGAGACGAGTCTGTCTCAGCTCAAACTGATCAGATTGTGGTGAATATGAGAACCACTGAATTCCTGATGATAAAACATCTGAAATGTTTTTCAGGAGAAAACATCAACATCTGTTGGAGTCCTGACGGTCAGACCATCGCTGTTGGGAACAAAGACGATGTTGTGACCTTCATCGACGCCAAGACTCATCGCTCCAAGGCAGAGGAACAGTTCAAGTTCGAGGTGAACGAGATCTCGTGGAGTAACGACAACGACATGTTCTTCCTCACAAACGGAAACGGCTGCATCAATATTCTGAGGTAAGAACCAAACGTAACCCGAAAGACAGAGTTACGTGGGATTTAGTAAAAGTTAAAACTATTCAATCTGTAAGTTTTCCAAACTTTTACACATTCATGAAAACCAGAGAGGATCTCTGCTGAGAGGCAGCTGAAGAGCTGGAGCTGCAGGATGTGATCCCTGTGACCCAGCTGTGTGTTTCAGAGCTGAAACAAAGTGATCGTGTGTTTGCAGTTATCCGGAGCTGAAGCCGATCCAGTCCATCAACGCTCATCCGTCCAACTGCATCTGTATCAAGTTCGACCCCACAGGAAAGTACTTCGCCACAGGAAGTGCAGACGCCCTGGTCAGCCTGTGGAACGTGGAGGAGCTGGTGTGTGTCCGCTGCTTCTCCAGGTCAGAGTCTGCGAACGTTTTTCAATTACTACTCTCTGGTTTCCTGACTGATAATACTTGTTATTGATTCATGCATTTCTTTGTATCGCAGGTTAGACTGGCCTGTGAGGACGCTGAGCTTCAGCCATGACGGAAAGATGTTGGCCTCGGCCTCTGAGGATCATTTCATAGACATCGCCGAGGTGGAAACAGGTCAGTGCGTCGAAGTGTGTCTGTGGTAACCGACACTATGACAAGAGGCTGGTTTATCAGTAAACATTTGTCAAAATGGGTTTACCGTAACATTTTTGAATACTTGTGGACGTGAAAGTGGAAGAATATAAATAATAAAGAAGACGCTGGTGAAGCTGACGAGAGTTGAGAGCTTTTGGTGGATTTGCTGTAAACACTGAGGCCCAGCAGAATGTTGACGTCACGTCCTGAACAATCTGCTGCTGCTTCTTCATATGAGAAACACAAACTCCAGCAAAACATTTGTATGAATCTTCGTTCTCTTTGAACTGCACCAAATGTTTTTTGTTGGATTTTCTTTAAAGATTCAGATTTTCCACTAAACCCACGCCTCAACCGTCTCTTGTTTTGCAGGAGAGAAGCTGTGGGAGGTTCAGTGTGATTCTCCCACCTTCACTGTTGCCTGGCACCCGAAGAGGCCGCTGCTGGCCTACGCCTGCGACGACAAGGACGGCAAGTACGACAACAACCGAGAGGCGGGCACCGTCAAACTGTTCGGCCTCCCCAATGACTCCTGAGGCGGAGCTGCTGAGCTGGTACTGATGACACTCATCACAATGAAACAAATAAATTCTGTCGAGCTTTGAATCTTGGCTTCAACCCCCTGAAGCAGCAGTAGCCTTTCATCACCAGCAGATGGTGCAGCTGTGCTTTAACAGTGGGCTTCATTCCCTGTTTGATAAGCAGATAAACACACAGGCCCCTGTTCTGTACATACATTGTTTGTGTAAAATATTCTTTGTCTTTGACATTAAAATTGGTCTCTTTGTAATTCTCGTGTGTCTAGAGACATAATTACTGAAATGCTGCATATATCTGTCAAAATATAAAAGATAATGAGATTTCAGATGTTTAATCTGAATTAATTCTTTTTCTTTAGTATAAAGAATATATTAGAAATCTATGGTAGGAAATGAAGCTGACGGGCTGATACTTGGTGTCGTGATCAGTCACATGTCGTTAAGTTAACTCCTGTAGAATTATTGAAATCTGTGTTGTTGTATTTAGATTTAAATCTCTGCGTTGCCTTCGAGCAGAACTGCAGAATGAAACTGGGAAGTTTTCACAGTGAAGCTTTTCACAGAGAATCTGAGCTGAGACACTCATTTCATTTCTCCGGACCTTGAACCGTGTGTGGGCGGACGGAGTCAATGATAAATGGAAGGAAGATGAAATAAACACGCAAACCAAATACCGCTAAATGTTTTTAAAATGTCGGTTCACATCCATCTCACATGTGATGTGTTTATTTGAATCCAGCTCAGGAAAGTTCTTCTTCACCAGTAACATCGAAAACGCAACATAACTAAATTAAAATATGAAATTATTAAAAAAATCTTAATTTTAGAAACAACAACAAAGATATTAAATATTGGTACAAACCACAGACTGAAAATAAAGATGGACGACATCTACAGATCCTAAGAGTGAAGCCAAAGCATTGCAACTGCCCCCTGGTGGCTGGCTGCAGTGTAGTGTAAATGCCCTCCTCCTCCACGTTAGCAGAGGGGACATGAACCATACAGAAGCTCAAAATAGGGAAGTTAAGACACGT